CCCAACGCCCAGTTGAATTGGGTAAAGTTTCGCCTTGGTTTCTTCCAACACCAAGATCAGAGCACATTTGCTGGCCAACCTTCTCCAAAAGTTACCGACCACAATAGGTCTAACTCCCCCATCTTTTTTTGTCAACGCTATCAAACGACCCCCGAAAAAGAAACGGCTGGCGGCGGATGGGCACGCGCCAGATAAAATTATATTTATAAACTGTGTTAGGGAGCTTACAAACTCGTCAATGGGCAGTGGGCCTGAAATTAAATCTTTAATGTGCTGGGGCCTTAGGCAGTCAAGGCCTCCAGACGAACCATTCCTAAATGACTTCAGGGCTGACAACACCTGGGTGGGTGAAACGCAACCATTTACGGTTTCCGGTGCAGGAAAGACTCGCCTGTCCGATGGTGACCTGGGGTGGATGGCGTTGAGTCTAACCAATGTCTCAGGCAAGTCCCCCGCCAGACCCTCGGGAGAGCAAACAAGCCTGACAGCCGCCGAAAGATTGCCCTGTTCTATGCGGGCGATTGCGGTTTGAATCCAACTGTTTGGATTGTTTTTTCGTGGCTTTATTGTATTGTCGATTTCAAAGCCAGCCGCAATAGACTCAACCTCCAATGTAGAGTAATCTGCCAATCGTTTGTTAACATGATTACCCTGGTTGAATCTTCGACCCCCTCTGGCAGGCTTTTTGAGGATATATGGGAAAAAACAATGGAGCCTGTACCAGTGAGTTGGGTCGCAAGGTTCATTACAAATTGCCGCCATGAGGGACATCAATTCTTTTATTACTTTTTCCCTACATGGTTTCGGCACATGATCAATAACCGGGGTTTTTCACAAGGCGGCCGTCAGTCTGTCAAAAAAAGCGTTAAGGTCAGTTCCCATGGGAGCCTCCGTGACCGAAGCTGATGTAGGTGCGGCTTCGCGACCCTCGTTGACAGGTGCAGCACGGGGAGCCAAACCCGAAGGTCCTGTAGACACGGCCGATGGTTGGTCGACCGCTTTCATAGACCCAGGGCATTCTTGACCCTTCTCTTTCCCTCCGTGCCGGTGTAATTTCTCGTCCGGTCTTAATTTATAGTGGTTGAAACAAAAAGTGCATTTGTGTAAAACCGGAGCCATAAATAAATATAAAATTAAAATTATAGGTAAAATACTAATAAAACTGCAAACATTGTTAAAACTTTAAACCAAAAAATAAAAATTAAAACAAAAATATTGCAAGGATGGTGTACATAAATGAAAAACGGAAAGCTAGTATTGTATACTATTTAATATTCATAAGTTTAAAAAAAAAATTTTGGAAACGAAATAAAATTTGATAAAACCCACCAAACCACCATAAAATATCCAAAAAGCAAAAAGAAACAGTCCAAAACGTTAAAACCAATTTTAATAACCAAAAATTAGTCAAAACTAAAAACTAAAATCCCTAAAACCTTTAAAAACGCGAAATGTTACCAGCAAAATGTTTCAAGTCGGCCGGACCGTGTTGAGCTAACGAGATGTATGTATGTATGTATGTATATATATTGACGGTTGGTCCTAGATAATCTTGCGAAATTAGGATTTAGACCATATTCGATACAGTTTTCAAGAAAATCAACCGCGGTTGACGTCATAGATGGCACCAGCTCAAGAAAATGTAATTGCCATCAAGAATCTTTAAAAACCAACAGATAAATCAGGAGTTTAGAATGTGCTAGGATCTATTAATTTCTATTTGAAATATATTGAAAATATTGCTCACAAATTTAAACCACTGCATAGGCTTTTGAGAAATTTTATCTCTATTCAACTTCAAAATTATTTATAAGAAAGGAAAAAATATATAATAACTGATTTTTTTCTCGATCACCAGTATTGGAACATTTTGAAAATGATGACGGAGTCCAAGTTGTCAAGTTAATTGAAAGACCTAAAATTCTTCAAAATCAAAAAGATAACATGGCTGAATTAAAGGTTGCCAAGAAGACTGAAAAACGCCATGGTATTATTTACAAAAAACTGAAGGACAAATCGAGGATATTTGATTCTGATAAATGTGGTTTAAGAGCAATAAAAAAGGTACATGAATATTATAGACATATTGAAGCTGGAAAATTGAAAGAGAAAATAAGACAATTCTATTATTTCAAAAACTTTGATCAATTAATTGAAGAGTTTTGTAAAAGTTGCACTATATGTTTAGAGAACAAAACTAGAAAAAATAGAATCAATTAATGTCAAAATTAGTATCCGCAACATTGGTACAGTTGGTGGTTTTGCTGGTAATAAATCAACAAAGAAATATATGCACATTTTAGTGGACCATTTCTGCAGATAGGCTTAGATCTCCACCACAAAAAGTCAATGTGCAATAGATTTCATAAAGTTAAATGAACCGATTGCTAAGAAAAATAAGATTAAAATACTTTTAGCCGACCAGTACATTGGAATTTAATCTACAGAACTCAAGCCAACAAGAAGAACATTCAAGTGGATTTTATATGTGTAGATTGCTTTCAATCAAATGGACTAAATGAAAGACTGAACCAAACATTTGTAAAAAGAATAAGATGTAAACTTTATAGTGGACTTTATAGTGGACCTATACAGGCATGGTTCGTCATTGCAGAATGATTTTATTTATTATTATGTTCTTTATTCACTTATTTGGAATTTTTATTTTAGATAGCTAAATCAGGTTCTCGATACCAAACTTATATATATATATATATATATATATATATATATATATATATATATATATATATTGATGAAAATCACAACCACTTTCGAACAGGATAAAAAATTATGAAAAAAATAAAAAAAAACGTCCAAGCAATCTACGAAAACGATAGTATTAAACTACGAATATACTACTCAAACCAAAGAACGTCATTTCTTTTGAGGAAAAACAACTGCACTAGTAAGCCAGAATCGAAAATGGATCATAGCCATCTAATGTATTTGTTCAGATGTAATATTGGTAAGTGTAGGCACCATAATTCTAAATATCTTGGTATGACGACAACCAAGTTATCAAGAAGACTCACGATGCAAGTACGCTATATAGAATCACATAAAAGAGAAACACAAAGCTAAAATTACTAGACAAATCTTGGACCAAAATGTTGAAATCTTACATTACAATGACAATCATTATAATTTACGACTAGCCAAATCAATACTCATAGAACAAAGACATCCGGTAATAAATATTCAACAACGGGCAATTGAAATTCTTCCTACCAATAAATTTAGAAACAGAGAAATCATTGATAACGAAAACCCGTAAAAGTGTAAAAGTGTTATATAATACATATATATATATATATATATATATATATATATATATATTATAAGTAGAGTTTATATATAGTTTCCATTCAAGTTCTTATGAATGCTTTATCCCACAAATGAGCTTTCTCTTCCTAAGGACAGTCTCTTCAATTTCATTGATCTTCAATTCTGTTAGCAAATTATTCCAAATACTTGGACCGCACACCGCAAAACTTTTTGAAGCCATCGATGACTTAGCCCACGGTATTTGAAGATTATTGTTTTAGAAAGACCTTAGGACTCTACCCTCTTCGGTTTCCGGTGTTTTTTGAAACAAATCAATCAAGTATTTCGGAGCCGGACCTCTGATACATCGCTTCACCATCACCAAAACTTTGAATACGACTCTGCTTCCAATCGGTAGCCAATGTAACTCACAAAAAATTAAAGTTACACGATCATATTTTCTCCCTTGAACAATAAGCTTTGCTGCACGTTTTTGTTCTGACTTTAGTCCATACATTGTTGACTTCGGGCATCTGCTCAGCAAACTGTTGCAATAGTCAACTCGACTGATCACGAATGCATGGATCAATGATTTTGTTGGGTCCAAATAAAGGGAAACCCTTATTCGGTCAAGCTGTCGAAGCTGAAAAGAGCAATCCCTTACCAGATTATTCACATGCTGATGCATGTTTAATGTACTATCCAACCAAAAATCCAAATTCTTCACCACACCAGAGAATGGCATCATCACCAATCCAAATCTTATGGCGTCCACATCAGTTTTCGAGAGCTGTTGTCTGGTTCCTCCGATCAACATCACATGTGTTTTATTCTCATTTAATTTCAATCTGCATGCACCCAGCCAACTTCTTAAGCACATTATTTTCTCTGATGCTAATTCAACCATTTCCGTCACCAATTGCGCATTCGCACTAATGATAATCTGTATATCATCAGCATATGAATACACAAGTAGATCATTGTGTTTCAGCACTTTTGCTACTCCCGAAGTGTATAGGAGGCCTAACACTGAACCCTGAGGAACTCCATTTTTTATCTCCATCGCTGTCGATGCTTGTCTTCCGTAGACAACTTCGTAAGTTCTTTCGCAAACAAATGATGACAACCAACCAAGCACATTGCCTTTCAAACCAAACTGATTCTTCAAAACATGATGCAGCACGTCGTGATTGGCAATCGAAAGCTGCACTCATGTCTAAAAGTGCTAAAAGAGACACTTTCTTCTTATCAATAGCTTCATACGCATCTACCATCAGACAAGTTAGGGCTGTCTCAGTCGAATGATGACAGATTGTGCATACGGCATCAAGTTCTGTTTGTCCAAGTGGTACACCGGTCGTCGTACAACCACTGTTTCGATTAACTTAGACAAAATAGTTAATTTGGAAACTGGTCTGTAATTGCCTGAAAGAGATACATCTGACTGGGGTTTCTTTAACAACGGCGTAACAATAGCATGCTTGGCCAACTTGAGAAAAATTTCGTCTCTTAAAGATGCATTTACTATGGCAATTATGAACGACAGAAGAACTTCTAAAAACTCCTTGACGACGTGTGTTGGGACACGATCACCGGAGCAGGTCGTTGACGGTGATTGCGTTATAATTTGTAAACCTCTTTTTCTGTGCATGATTCAAAATTGTCCAACATTATAACAGCTTCAATTACCGGAAAATCATAATGCCGAGTCGCTGCTATTACTTTATCAACTTTGGCTTCGAAGTATTTAAAAAAATCTTCAGATGTAAGTTCCGCCGTTTTTGTCTGACATATTTACATTTTTATTCATCATCTTGTTCACATGACGCCAAAGCTGAGAAAGATATATATATATATATATATATATATATATATATATATATATATATATATATATATATATATATATTAGGAAGAAGACCAAGTTCTATACAGTTGTTCAAAAAATCCACCGACGATTCAGCATTAACAAGTTTTATGGTTGATTTTCTAATATTTTGATGACGACGACAACAACAATACAAACAACGATAGCAACAACAACAGCAACAATAAAAAGAACAACAACAATAATAATAATGGTAATGATGATGATGATGATAATAATAACAATAATAATAATAATAATAATAATAATAATAATGATAATGATAACGATAATAACAATAATAATAATAATAATAATAATAATAATGATAATAATAATAAAAATAATAATTAATAATATTAATAATAATAATAGAAACGATATTCTAATTAATTTCGCGCTTCAAATTTGTGACATTGTTGGTTGCCATCTTGACAACGGCCACGTAGCATGAACAATCGTATAATTTTCAAATATTGTGTTTACTAATTTCAATGAACCTTTGCGTTTTTATTTC